AGAAATACTTTGGACAGGCTCTTCATATTACAGGGGGGAAAAACACAGTTTTGTTTCCAGTTTCTGAAAGGAAGTGAGGTATATTTCCACCATGGCCTCCAGTTTCCCCCTCGGGTAGCACACAGTCAACACTATGAAGGAGTCAAGCTTCCACTTCCGGCAGCATTTCAATCACCAGGGTGAAAACTGTTTTTGCAGTAAGTGGAGTCAAACAGGGTGCGAAACAAAAGGTTAGTGGTACAAGGGCACCCAGAGGCTCTTCAAAAGAAAGGCCTGGCAGTTTACTTTTCAAAAAGCCAGTCCTTGCACACTGTAGGGTGCACTGTGCCACTCTGCTACACAGGACTCACCATGATCTGAAACAACTCGACAACAAGAAGCTTATCTGAAAGCGTACATGTTGTGCACTATCCAAACACCCAACGTTATCATCCGTTTCACATAATGGAGGCCACATATTCATAGCAGGTACCTACAATTGGTCTCTACAAACCAAACCTTTGACCCAAACGTTCCAAACATCAAATATGTTATAGAAAAAGCAATCTTCGCCTAACATGAATCGATCTACTGTTTTCCTGGAAGTACATACTTTATGAATGATGTCCAATATGTCTTGGGGTAGTTATGTATGACAGCATAAAAAGTTAATAAATTAAAAACCAAATTCAAACCAAACCGACGGCCATCAAGTCAGTGCTGGTTCATAACAAGCCTACAAAACATGGTGGGACTGCTTCTGTGAGTTTCCCACACTATAACTCTTTACAGGAGCAGAAGGCCCATTCTCTCTTCCAAGGAGCAGATGGTGGTTTCAAACTGCTGACTTGCTGTTACCAGCCCAACACACAACCACTACACCATCCAGGATATTATCACTGAAATCACACCCAAGTATAACTAAGGCTCTTCTATGTAGCTGTTTAAGCACAACTTTTAGAATACACTTCTTCATAATCAGAAGATTTATAAATTAAAGAGTTAAGTTGTATAATCACTAAAGACATTCTGTTCAAATCAGGAAAATAACAGAGGTAAGCATGAATCCTACTACTACAACTACTCACTGGCCCTGAGCCATTTACTACTAACTCACAATGGCCCTATAAGGCCAGAATAGAATTTCCAAGACTGTAAATCTTTATGAGCGCATGTAGTTTAACCTTTTCCTGTGAAATGGCTGGTGGGTTTGAATCACTGTAGTGAGCACCCCAAGGCTTACCCCCCCACCCCCGCCCCCAGGGATCCTTCACTGGACCCTGCCATCAAGTTGGTTGTAGCTCAGAGAGACCCTACCGGACAGGATAGAACTGCCTGTGTGTGTAATTGTATGGGAATAGAGAGTTTCATCTTTCTCCCATGGAGCAGCTGGTGGTTTTGAACTTACAGTGAGCAGCCCAATGTGTACCTGCTATGCTGCCAGGGCTCCTTCACTGGACACTAGCAATTCTGAAATCAGTCAGGCCCGTTGTTGGAAGTTCTACGAGTAGGCCTTAGTCCTATGACTGCTTGGAAATGACTATTCATGGGTCTTAGCTCTATTTTCTGGGCTCTTGGTTATATCTTTTGAATTTCTTTGAAATGAGAGGTAGACCACGTTTGTAGTTACACTGTATTAGAAGCCCGAGTCCTGTAAATAAAAGCATGAGGTTCCAAAAGTCTTTATTTGATCCCATTTCTCCTCATTTTAGACCAAACTGGTGGTGGTTCTGTCAACATAATGCTCTTAAAATTTCAGGAGGGGTGATGGTTATTCCATATCCTCTTGGCATTTTCCTCATTAGACAAAAGCCACACCCTTTGCCGTGTTATGCTTTTGCTCATTGAGGAAGAACAATGCCATCAGGCATTTTCAGAAGCCCTATGTTTAATTACATGATTTTCTGAAACACCATCCGAGATATTTCTGAGCATATAACAGATTTTGTAGTCACAGCCTGGGTTTCATCTCAGACCACAATTTCCTGAATGTACCCTTGACTGATCTTTGCCCAACGGCCATTTCGTCATTTTAGCATAGTTTGCCACGTGAAGAAGCTAGGAATCTAGAAACAGCAAGTCTGAACTCCTTTTGTGTAATAGCATTTCCTTTTGCTTACGAAATGTTCCTCCTCTCAGATTTTGCTCTAAACAGCAAGAAACCAGGCAACCCTTCAAACCCTGTCAACATCTCCTTAGCCAAACCACCCATTCCAGTAGGTATATTTTCTGCATCCCATATTTTTGCAGGTGACATTGTTGCTAAACGTTTTGCACCTATCTGATGATTAGTTATAAAGTTTTGCCACATGGATACATGCAAGTGACTATTCTGAACAAGGTGTGTTTAAACATGCCTCTACAATCAGTGGATGCCTGAAGACAAGATCTCAGGATTCGGATTGCCATCTGTCATTTTGCTATTTGGTGTATACATGTCTTTCTTAGTTTATTCTTTCAAGGAATCTCATCTGTTTGTTGCTTAGTGTTTGTCCCACTTGGTTGGGAGATTACACTCAATGCTGTGGCCAATTCCACAGTCTCTCTCTGCTTTCGCTTTTTGCTGGGCTCTCCCCGTGTTCCTGCACACGCATAGCTTCCTAGTCACGCAGCAATGTATGGAGCGCTTATCTGAGTCTTGGTATTGCTCCTTTACTTCCAGCATCTCCCTGTCAACTTCCTGGCTGGTCTGCTATTTGGCAATCAGAACTGCAATCCATTTAGCAAAGCTGTGAGGGCTCCCTCTCTCCATTGCCAACTGGATCTGCCAATTTTAACAAGGAAAGCCTTCGTCTTTATCACTCTGCTCAAAATTGATTCTAGCCCTGCTGGGAGCAAACTGGATTAATGCTAGCCCCAGCCCCAGGCGTGTGAAACTCTGGTGTTAGCTGACCAAGCAGAGTGCGGGAGCTGACACTGGCAAGACGAATGCATACTCCTGCTCTTTGCACACGAAGTTACTGCAGTTTTAAAATAAACACGTGATTTGCTATCCGGCTTGGCTGGTATGCAGCGCTTTCAAGTTGTGCAGCAATTGTGCCCCGTTTTCGTCTTGTTTTCGTGGAGAATGCTTGCTGTCTCTACACCCCTCCATTACCAGTCACGAAACAACTTCTCCTATGTGAGGTTCACAAAAATTAGAAGATGAAGGGTAGATTCCTGCTTATGCTCCATCATCTTGGGTGTTTACTACCATATTGGTGCAAGACAACATTTAAAATTACTTTAAAAGCTGAGGAATCAGTTTCAATGCAAGTTTCTAGACAGTTCCAGAAACACTTGGAAAACTTGTATGATAGTAGTAGGTGCTAACTAAACACTGAACATCTTCTAAATGGGTCCTATTTTCATAGATTTTTAAAGGCATTTTTAGTACTTTCAGTTTGCTGAAATTGTTACTTAATTTACCATATTGGCTCATATTGACCATACTTGGCTGACTTAGACTCTATGATAAACTCACTGCTATCCTGTCAATTCCAACACCGAAGGGGCCATATATTTCCCAAGACTGCAAATCTTTATGGGAGAAGTAAGCAATGGTTTCCAAGCAATTCCAACCTCTTTAACCATTTCCCTCTTTCAAATATCAGAGATAACTCCGTTTTTCTGAGTGGAAGATTGATTTTAAGGAATAAAGCTAATTTAAATGTTTTCAACTGAATTTGAAGTAAGTTGTATGACTGGACATATGCAGCTTGTGCTTTTAGGTGTATGCGTATATATTTTCATTACATGAACGTATCACAATTAGCCTACTTAAACTCCTACTAATTGGCATTTCAATTACTTCCAGATTCACTACTATATGAACAATGCTACAAACATTCCTAAGAAGACTTCTATATAGCAGAGAAGATATCTCCTTTAGGATATACATGAGCACCTTAGCCTTTAGTAGATAACTCTGAAGGGTAATTGTTCCAATTTGCAAAAAAGAGAAGCAAATAACAAACCAAACCCAAACTCACAGCCATTGAGTCAATTCTGACACATAGCAAGCTTATATAACGGTTTTCCTTTATTCACAACTTTGGCATTGCCACATTGATTAAATGCAATGATACCATACGGTCTTCAAGCTTAGAATCCACTACATGTTAACATAAATTTTCACCTTTTCCTGTGTTTATTAGTAATTCCTGTGAGAGAAAAAGAGACGCTAGGTGGTTTTCAAAATATATACTTGTTCATTTATATGGTACACGCAGCACGGATTTTGTTAAATTATTTTCATTTAGATTTCAGTGTGTTTGAAATAATATTCTAATTCTAGAAATAATTAACCTTTAAAACAAATTAAGCTTTAGATTTATTCTTCATAGTTGAGACACTGACTGCTACTTGGTAATATTTGACTTAGAAAATAATGTGTACTTACTCTAAGGCCAGAAATCCTCCTCATGGTAACCTGACGGTTTGAATCATGGTGTCCAGAAATTTGGTTTGGACCCGGGAACATGAAATCTCTTGTATTTTCATCATATGTAGACAGTGTTTCACCAACTACAAGAAAGATAGCCTATGATCAAATTATAACAATATTCTATTTGGAAATAAAATCATTAGTGATATATATGTTGCCCGACACTGTATTAAAATACCTACTTCAGGGTCATATATTTTATTTTCCTATGAAAGAAAATTTTGAATGAAATTATATTAAATAGAAGAACACATCTAATTATTCAGGAATATGCTACATTTCATTAATTTTAATATTTTTAATTCCTCTTCTCTAGAGTGAGTTACTACCAAAAAAGTTTATTTAAAACCATCAATTTGGTATGACATTCACACATCTTAAACTTAATGACCATCTCGATGATTTTTTTTCCATCCTTATAAAATATGAGGTTACATGTTGAAAACATTTAGGTATTTTCTAGAATGTCAAACGACCTGAATTTAGATAGCTAGTAATACTTCGAGTTTTTAGATTGCTCAACTAAAACCCAAACCCAGCGCCATCACATGGATGCCGACTCGTAGTGGCCCGATAGGACGGGGTGGAGCTGCCCTGTGACTCTATGGGAGCAGCCAGCCTCATTGCATTCCCACTGGTGGTTCCCAAGTGCTGATCTTGCAGGCACAAGCACTAGGCCACCAGGGCTCCTTTTAGATGACCAGCAGTATATATATATATATATATATACTCACTCCAGTTTGCACATAAGGCAAACATTTAATTAAAATGTAGTTTTTCTGTAATCATATGAACCACAAACAAAGAAAACTAGTCTATGCATTTTAACTCAACCTCCTCTGAGCTCTGTAATGTTGATTATGTGTTTTATTCCCTCCAATCCACAACAACAGCTAACATATGCACATACAAAAGATAAATAACTATTTCATAGAGAAAATCACATAATACTAGAAAATCACAATTTAAACTTCAAGTGTTTTTTCTTAACCAAATATCCGAGGTTAAGATCAGCTTATTTTCTACTCTCGGTCATTACTATTTACTCAGTTTTAGAACAATGTGTTCAAATACTATTTATGTCCATCTTTCTTATATATATTTTCATTTATTCATATGTTACACGTAATGGAACAAAGATGGCAACTATATCATTCATAATTTGGAAAAAGAGAGAAATGATGAAATCTTTAAAAAGCATGGTTTCCACATCAAGTATTTTATGAACATACAATACAGTACCTGGTGGAACAAGCTGTATCAACTCAAACACTGCTGTATCATCTGAAAGTTAAAAGAAGAGTTTCTTAAGTAAATTAATAATAATCAAAAGTTACTTTACCAAAAGAAGCATTTAAAGTAATCACTGAATAGATTATGTACGTGTTTATACTTCAGTAATTATATGTTTATAAATATAAATTATTTGACTATTTTAAGCAGAGTGGTGAGTATGTTATATAACATATCTGGATATGTTAAATAATTCTTTATAATTTTAATGAAAAGCTAAGGTAAAAGAAGACCAAAATTCTCATAACTGGACCAAAAGGTAACATCATGACAAATGGAGAAAAGGTTCAAGTTGTCAAAGATTTTGTTTTGCTTGGATCTACAATCAATGTTCATGGAAGCAGCAGTCGAGATCAAAAGAAGAGTTGTATTGGCTCACTCCACTGTACAAGACCTCTTTGGAGTATTGAAAAGCAAGGATGCAACTATGAGGACTAGGCTGGGCCTGACTCAAGCCAGGGTATTTTCAATTGCCTCACATGCAAGTCTCTGAATAAGGACACTGAATAAGGAAGACCAAAGAAAAAAGCATGCGTTTCAGCTGCGGTGCTGCAAAAGAATACTGAAAGTACTATGGACTGCTAAACGGACAAACCGGTCTGCCTTGGAAGAAGTATGGTCAGAGTGGTCCTTAAAGGTAAGGATGGCAAGACTTGTCTTACATACTTTGGACATGTTTTCAGGAGGGACCCATCCCTGGAGAAGGACATCATCGAAAAAGAGGGAGGTCCTGGATGACATGGATTGACACAGTGGCTGCATCCATGGGCTCAGGTATGGGGAGAATTCTGAGGATGGCACAGGACTGGGTAGTATTTTGCTCTGTTGTACATAAGGGCACTATGGATTGGAACTGACTCAATGGTACCTAACGACAATAACAAGAACAACAGAGTATTTTTTATTATAGAATTTAAATTGTGCCCTTCTAAGAACTCATTAAAAATATAATCTCTTTGTTCTTTACCATTGAAGCATTTTCATCTAATTGAAATCTTAGACATTTGTCCCTCTACCTGGATTTCTAATCAATGAATGATACTAAATACCCTCTTTGGGTCTATCCTGGGTCAATAATAAAGAGGAAAAAATAATATATCCCTTCCCTCAAGTCTCTGATATTCCATTCTAATGAGAAATCAACTTAATATACGATTTTTCAGAAACCATAGTACAATGAACGCATTGTGGATGGTACTGTGCGAGCACACATTAAAATAGATTGTAGGTCAAGAGTCTGGGAAGGAGCTCTGAGGAAGAGGTGTTTGGGATCACATCTATTTAACCTAACACAATAGTATAAAGAAGCTAACTCAAGAATGTTCCAAGTAGAAGTAACAAGCTATAAGTGGGACATAGGGTAATCTAGACAACTGTAGTGAACTGCTGTCAAGTCAGGCCTTACTTACAGACCCAAGCACAACAGTTCCTGGTCCTGTGCCATTCTCACAGTCATTCCTATTTTCAACCCACGGTTGCAGCCAGTGTCAATCTGTTTCATTGAGGGTCTTCTCTCTTTCCCTGATCCCCTGCTTTCCCATGCATGCTGTCTGTGTCCAGGGACATATATATAAAAAAGGAGCAATGATATCAAGAAGGCATCCCAGCCCAGTCCAACTCAAGTCCATAAATCCAATACTAGTCCATAGACCCTCTTCACACTCACGTAGCCAGAGTGGTTCTTAAAGGTAAGGCTTGCCAGTGACGCAAAATGATAAATCGAGAAATAGGAAGATCATAGGTCGTGGGTACAGAGTCACAAGTCAGTGGAAACATGGCAGACTGCTGGCAGCGCTCAGTGTTGAGTGGCTCATGTGGGGCCAGCCCTTGAGACAGGCAGAGTTCCAGCAAGCAGGAAGCCAGAGAGGCAGAGAGGCAGAGAGAACGAGAGCGGTTCCAGTGTTTGTCACTCATAAGCCAAAATGCTATGACCCCAAAGAGGTGTCAGCCCGAAACCTGATTGATAGGTTTGACTCCACCCCTAGCCAGGAGTGTCTGTCTAGTTGACATATTCCCTAACCACCGCCTCTGTATACATGTCTGTGTACATATACATATGTACATGTCTATACACATGTACATATACACATACATATACATATGTTAGGTGCCATCCAGTTGGTTCCAACCCATAGCAGCGACCGTATGTACAACAGAATGAAACACCACCAGATCCTGCACCATCCTCACAATCATTACCATGTTAGAGCCCAGTATTGCAGCCACTGTGTCAGGCCATCCTGTAGAGGGCTTTCATTTTGTTCACTGCCTCTCCACACAGGAGCCCCGGTGGTGCAGTGGTTACACTTTGGGCTGAGATCCACATGCTCGGCAGTTAGAAACCACCAGCAGCTCCTTGGTAGAAAGACTGGACTTTCTACCCCCGTCAAAAGTTAGTCTCACAAACCCAATGCAATGTTTTCCGCCATAAAAAGAATGAAGTGCCCACACAAGCTACAATGTAGATGAACCTCAAAAACAGGCTAAGTAAAAGAAGCCAGATATATATATATATCTTCTATTTATCTGAACAGGCTAAGTAAAAGAAGCCAGATATATATACATACATACACACACACACACATATATACACACACATATATATACACATATATGTATGTATATATATGTGTGTATATATATATATATACATATTTATCTGAACTATCCCAAACAGGCAAATTCACAGACACACAAAACAAACTGGTGGTTGGAGAGGGCAAAGGGAGGAGGAGATGTGAAGTAACTGCTGATTGGCTCGGAAACTTGCTTTGGGAGGCCATGTGTTTTGGAACAAGGTTGAGGTGAGAGTTCACATACAACACTGTGAATGTACTTAATTCAACTACGAACATGTGCACTTTAAAATAGCAAATTTTGATCTGTGGATTTCAAAAAGAAATTTTAAAGGAAAACTAAACAAATCTAATGTAAAATCATATCGAAGGGTAATATGCTGAACCGTCCCCTCTGAGATCAAGTAGGAGACATCCACGTGCACCGGAGAGCTAAGCTAGTGCAAAAAAGCAATAAAAAAGAGATAACAAGAATGATTATAAGAAGAAAATACCAGCATTCATGATGCAATTGGGCTTACAAGAAGTCCAAATGAATCTAAAGATGTGCTTTTTAATTAACACACAGGGAAAGGTTGCTGGAGACCCAGTCAATAAGCAAAAGTCCATTGTATTTTTTTGTAATGGAAAGTTAGAAATGATCGTACAATCTTATTTGAAAGTCTGAAATGTTTAGAAAAATGCCGAATGAAAGTTATTTCAGGCTGATACACAAAGTTTATACACATTATCAAGTGTAAAGGCAAACTATATTAACATATGAGAGCTTTAGCTTACTTGCCCTTCTAAAGACGATTTCGCAGTAAAATGTCAGGGATTAGAACCTTGACATATCATTTTTGGGGACACAATTCAATGCACTATTCTTGTGCTTAAGAGTCAATCCATCTCAGGGTGCAGGGTAGCAACGATAAAACATAACTTTACTCTAGTTCTCAAATCCCCCCCCCCCCACTATCATGATCCCAATTCTACCTTACAAATCAGGCTAGACCAGAGGATGTACACTGGTACAGATAGGAACTGGAAACACAGGGAATCCAGGACAGATGACTCCTTCAGGACCAGGTATGAAAGGAGCGAGGCCTGGAGGGTGAAGGGAATGTGGGGTGGAAAGGGGGAACCGATTACAAGAATCTAGGTATTGCCTCCTCCCTGGGGGAGGGACAGCAGAGAAGAGGGTGGGGGGAGACGTCTGACAGTGTAATTTATGACAAAACTATAATAAGTTGTGAATTATGAAGGGTTCATGAGGGGGGGATGGGGAAGGAAGGGGAAAATGAGCAACTGATATTAAGGGCTGAGATGGAGGGCAAATGTTTTGAGAATGATGAGGGCAGCGAATGTACATATGTGCTTGACACAGTGGATGTATGTATGGATTGTGATGAGAATTGTACGAGCCCCCAATAAAATAATTTTTTTTTAAAGAAAGAGTCAATCCATTGCATTGAAGAGGCCTTTTTTATTGATGCCCTTCTCTACGTCAAGAATGATGTCTTTCTCCAGGGATTGCTCTTTTCTGATGTCTAAAGTACCTGAGACAATGCCTTGTCATCTTTCCTCCCAAGGAGCACTCTGGTTTTAATTCTTCTAAGATAGAAGTATTCATTTTCTGGCAGTTCAAAGTATATCCAATATGCATCTCTAACATCCCAATTGAAAGCATGGATTGTTCTCCGGGTATTCGTATTCACTGTCCAGCTTTCACAGCCCGGTCAGGTGTACCTTAGTCTTCCAAGTGGCACCTGTGCTTTGTAAAAGACATTTTAAAGAGCACCTTTGCAACAGAGTTGCCCAATACGATAAGCTGTGTGACTGCTAGACCGCTGCTTTCATTAGCGATGGTTTGGGATCCAAGTACAAGGAAAGCTTGGCAACCTCCACTTTCCCTCCAGGTGTTGGGATGTTGCTTCCTGGTCCAGATTTTAGAGGATCTATTTCCTGTGTTGAAGTGTAATCCAGACGGGAAGCTGTATTATCCGCTGTTCATCCTACAGTGCTTCCAGTGCTCTTCACTTCAGCAGGCAAATGTAGGTCATCTGAATATCAAAGCTTGGTAAAATAAAACCTCCACTAATCCCGATGCTATGCGCGTCTTCAGATTGGCCAGCTTCTAGGATTATTTGCTCAGCATACAAGTTGGGTGATACTGTGAAAGCGCCAACCCACATCTTTCCTGATTTCAAACCATATGATATCCTTTTAGTCTGTCCAAACAAGTGTCTCTTGGGCTATGGACAAGTTCTCCTTGCATACTCTGGAATTCCCATCCTTCACAGCATTATCCATAGTTGGTTATGATTCATACAACCGTTCCATTATATAAAACTATATTCACCAATACAGCAACCTCCTAGTAGTTTTATCAACCCACTATCAAACCCATCGCAATAAAGTCAGGGTCCTGTCCTG